CCAGGGCCCCTATAGACCCCAGAGATGTCAAACACACCCCTCCAGACCCCCAGAGACCCCATAGAGAGCCCCCACAGACCCCTATAGATACCCTATAGACCCACAGATACCCTCCAGACCCCCTATAGAGCCCCTATGGACCCCTACAGAAACCAATGGACCCCTCCAGAGACCTATAGGGACCTACAGACCCCTGCAGACCCCACAGAGAGCCCCCACAGACCCCTATAGATACCCTACAGACCCACAGATATCCTACAGGCCCCCTATAGAGCCCCTATGGATCCCCACAGACCCCCATAGGGACCTACAGACCCCTGCAGACCCCACAGAGAGCCCCCAGAGATCCCTATAGATACCCTACAGATCTCCTATGGGCCTCCTATGGACCCCCACAGCACCCAATGGAGTCCTACAGACCCCTATAGGGACCTATAGACCCCCGCAGACCCCATAGAGAGTCCCCAGAGATCCCTCCACAACCCCTACAGGCCCCACAGAACCCAAAGGACTCCTATAGACTCTATATGAGCCCCTATAGACACTCACAGACCCCATACAGAGCCCCCATAGACCCCCACAGACCCTTTATAGCCCTCTATAGGCCCCTGACAGCCCCCGAAAAAGCCCTATAGACCCCCACAGAACCCAATGGGCTCCTACAGATCCCATATGGAGCCCCTATAGACCCCCACAGACCCTTTATAGCCCCCCCAAAAAGCCCTATAGACCCCCACAGAACAGAATGGGCTCCTATAGATTCCATATGGAGCCCCTATAGACGCCCACAGAGCCCTCCACGACCCCTATAGGCCCCCTATAGCTCCCCACAGAGCCCCTATGGACCCTCCAGAGCACCAAAGATCCCCTATAGAGCCTCATCTACCCTCACAAATCCCCGACAGAGCCCTCCAGCATCTCCTGGAATCCTCCAGAACCTTTTTACATCCCTATAGGCATCTACAGATGCTCGAAGGATTCGCTATAGGCATCTGCAGCCCCCTACGGACCCCCAGTCAGCCCCTATAAGGACCCTATAGAAACCCTCTCCACCCCTTCAGCCTGTCACGAACAGCTCCAGAGCTCTACGAACCCCTAAAAAACCCCTATAGCCCACCCAGAGCCCCTCAGAAACCCTCCCCGGACCCCTACAGACCCTATAGTCCCCTATAGAGCCCCCCCAGACCCCCGAGGCCGCCCCTCAGCGCCGCCGCCCCCTCACGCCAAACCCCCCCCCCTCAGGGCCCCGCCGCCGCTCCCCGCCCCCTCCTCTCCCAGCGCTCACCGGAGGCTCGCGAAGCGGCCCAGGCGCGCCCTGCCGGCCGGGGAATGGCGATGATGTCGCGATAGTGTCGCGATAATGTCGCGACTCGCGGGGGTCGCCGCCGCCTTTTCGCGCGTTCCCCCCCCCTCCACGGTTCGCTCAGCGCCGACTCGGCCTCAGCGGCATCCAAGATGGCGGCGGCTCCCTCAGGCCGCCGCCCCGCCCCGTCCGCGCGCCCCGCCCCGCCGCGCGCGCCCATTGGCCGAAGGGAGCGCCCGTCATCGAATGACGCTCGATGATTGGATAGGAGAGAAAGAGGGCGGGACGAAGCGCGGAGCGGCCCGGCCTCCTCGCACCGCTGTCAATCAAAGCATCCCCGCACTCCCATTGGCGGCGCTGTGTTTATAGCGGAAAAAAGGCGGGGTTCGGCTCAAGCCACGCCCATAAGGCGGAACTCGCGCATACGACCCCTCCCTATTGGACAGAAAAGCCGTCACTCAGAGCGTGGCGGGAGTGGGCGACGCCTCCTCCGATTGGCCGAGTTCTGTAGCGAAGGGCGGGGCCACACGCGGAGCTCTCCTGCTATTGGCTGTTTCTTCGCGCGGGGGAGCCAATAACCGACGGCCGCACGCAGGGGGCGTGGCCAACTCAGAACAGAGGCAGCCAATAGGAGGCTGGGATTGACCGGGAGCCCGCCCGAGGGGGCGGGGCCACAGCGCTGAGGGCGGGAACCCCCGAAATCCCTCAGAAAAACCCCAAAATCCCTCAGAAAAGCCCCAAAATCCCTCAGAAAAGCCCCAAAATCCCTCAGAAAAACCCCAAAATCCCTCAAAAGAAGACCCAAAATCCCTCAAAAGAAGCCCCAAAATCCCTCAAAAAAAAGCCCCAAAATCCCTCAAAAGAAGCCCCAAAATCCCTCAAAAAAGCCCCCAAATCCTCCCCAAAACCACCCAGGAGAGACCCGCAATATCCACAACTTCCAGAACCCCTCAAATCCCACCCAGAACCCCCAAAAAAGTGACCCCAAACCATTCAGGAACCCCCTCCTCAATTCCCCCCCAAAACTCCACCGAGACGCTCCAATCAAAAATTCCAATATTTATAGAAACTTCGGGAAAAAAACATAAAAGGGGGGGTTGGGAAAAGGGGAAAAATCCCCGGAAATTCGGGGCTCCCGGGGGGAGCGGAGACCCCACTTTTGTCCCTCTGGAGCTCCAAAAACCCCTCAAAACTCCCCAAAAACTCCCCCCAAAAAACTCCCCCCGATCCCAAATTCCACGGGAAAAGGGAGGGCGGGAATTCGGGGAGGGATTCGGGGGGCTCAGGGCGGGGTGGGGACCCCGCTTTTCTCGCCCTTGACCTTGAGGAACTCGGCCATGCTGGAGAAATATTTTTGGTTGGCCTCGGCCACTTTCTTCTCGGCCGCCTGCGGGTTCACGATCTCCAGCCCCTGTGGGGGTCCCAAAAGGAATTTTGGGGGGGTCCCAAAAGCAGGGAGACCCCCCCCCCGTCCTCCTCCCCCCAAAATTCCAGCTGGGAATTCCTCAAATCCTTCAAAATTCTGCCCAAATCCTCTTGGATTACCCCAAAATCCCTTCGGGATGGACCCAGGACTCCTCTGAGAGCCTCAAGTCCTCCCAAATCTCCTTTGGGACCCCCCAAAGTCCTCCTGGGAGCCCCCAGAATTCGCTCAAGATCCCCAAATCCCCCTAAAACTCCCCCCAGCACCCCCCAAGCCCCCCCAAACCCCTCCAGGACTCCCCAGATCCCACTTGGGACACCCAAAGACTTGAAAAACCCCCAAAACCCCTCCAGGACCCCCTAAATCCATCTTGGGATCCCCTAAACACCCTCAAAACCCCCCAAATCCCACTTGGGACCCCCCAAATCCCCTCAAAACCCCCTCAAACCCCTCCAGGATCCCCCAAATCCCA